CAGAACCTCCTTCCCAGCTTGAGATAAATATTGTTCAGACCATCCCATAAGCTTGGCATTAATTTTGTTGCGTACATCCTCAAAGACCCGATGTTTTGACGCCCCAAAGTCAGCATTGAGTCCTAAATATCGTCCAAACCCATCATTTTGTTGTACCTATAAGATATCGCCCACCTACTTACGGACACGCACCGGACATTTTTTTCCAAACAATAGCGAACTTTTGTCAAAATTAATACATTGACCAAAGCCTTTCTCATAACAGACTAAAATATTTTTCAAGCATCTAGCCTCCTGTTCATTAGCTTTGCAAAAAATAACGGAGTCATCGGCGAAGAACAAATGTGAAATGCTAACTCCCTGAGGGTGAAATCAGAAGCCCTGCAAGGCACCCATCTCTTCGTGCTTCTTAATCATAGCAGACAGGCCCTCAGCACATAACAGAAATAAAAAAGGAGATAGAGGATCGCCTCGGTGAAGACCCCGGGAAGGTGTAATATGTCCTGTAGCCTCACCATTAACAATCACACTATATGAAACAGTAGAAATGCATTCCATTACCCACCCTTTAAAGATCGAATCAAATCCCAACCTTCTCATCATATGCTCCACAAATGGCCATTCAACTCGGTCATAGGCTTTGGCCATGTCTAGTTTCAATGCCAAATTGGATCGCCCCATTCCAACCTCCTTCTTAAGCGAGTGAAGTATCTCATGTACAATCAAAATATTGTCCGTAATTAATCGATCTTCAATGAAGGCGGATTGATTGAGACTAATGATCTCAGGAAGCACAGTTTTGAGCCTGACTGTTAAGATCTTGGAAATAATTTTATACACCAAATTGCATAAAGCAATTGGTCTCCATTGAGTCATCTTCCTTGGTGTAGCAATCTTCAGGATCAAAACCAGATGCGTCTGGTTAAGAGCTCTATGAAGTCTCCCTGAGTGAAAAAAACTCTTGACCATTCCAATAATGTCCTCCCCAACCACGTCCCAATACTGTTGAAAGAATTTTCCCGTGAAACCATCTAGACCCGGCGACTTCGTAGGATTCAAGGATTTCACGGCAAGCCAAATCTCCTCAGATGAAATTTGTTGTGTCGAGCAAGAATTCTGCTGCATGGTCACCCGTGGCTGAACACAATCAGTAATAGACTTAATATTCGTAGGTGTACACGTGGTAAAAATTCCCTGAAAATAAGATATAATCAGTGATTTAATTTCGCCTTCCTCTCTGCACCACCGTCCTGCAGAACCTTCTAAGCCCACCATACTATTTGCACATCGTCGAGCAAGTGTTTTAGAATGAAAAAACTTAGTATTCTTCTCTCCTTCATTAAGCCATTGGACCCGAGATTTAAGTTTCCAATATACCTCTTCCTAACGCAAGACCTCATCACGATCAAAGTCAGGAGCCACGTACGTAGCTTTGAGTTGTTGCTGTAGGAGTGTGATAGTAGCCTTGGAGCTTCTCCATTCTCTTCTTCGCCAATCCAATATTCCTTTCCTTACCCAGCATAATTTCCTTGAAATCTGTAGACCCCTTGACCCCGGAATCCGTCTGTTCCATCTCTCTTCTACCACTTTTCGACACCCCACTGAATCTCCTCACCGTGGATCAAATATAAATCTTTTATGCCATTTCCGGCCCGGGCCTTGGGTTTGTAATAAAAGTAACACGTGGTCAGAGCCCGGCACCACCACATGATGCACCGTAGCTGATGGGTATAGTGTAACCCATTGATGATTCCCAAATCCCCTATCCAAGCGTTCCATAATTCCACCCTCCTGCCGTCTATTCCTCCAAGTAAACGGATGACCCACGTATCCCAAGTCCAACAAGTGACTAGTAGCTGCAAATAGTGAAAAATCATGCAAAGCTTCGTTCTGTGCGCGGCAGTCCCCCACATTTCTCTGCGACATCCAAAATATCATTGAAATCCCCCATCAATAGGCAAGCCTCCTGATATTGGACCATCCTGTCATGTAAAATCTGCCATTGAGATCTCCGCACTAGCTCATCATTACTTGCATATACCGCAAAGAAATGCCACTTGGCACCATTCTCCTCATCCTTGATCACAACCTGTTCGGTTCATTTTTACACATGATTTTTCATGTTATTCACCTATTATTTTGAGTTAGTTCTTGACATTTTATAGCTTTTTACTTCCTTTTTGTGTTTTCTTAGATTTTACCTTGGTTAGAATGAAAATGAGCTAAAAGTGCATTATTGGTTATAAATTCTGATTTTGTTCATTTTCGTAGGTCAACTTCTTGGCCTTGGATCAGCATGCTCCAATGCTCGGATGAGGTGAAGATCTTCATGAAACTTGTTCCAATGGATGTTAGCTACAACATATCCAAATTTGAGCTCCATTGGACAAGTTTAGCCTATCCAACTGATCCTATATGTTACAGCAGCTCTGGAAATCCGAAGTAGGCCAGTTTTTTACCTCCATAATGTTATCTTGATTCTTCTTGTTACCATAACACTTGGTAACAAGAAATTACCTTAGTAAATGAGATATTTTCTGAAGCAATTGGCATCTTTGTGAAGACAAGGCTTCATCATGGCAAAGGGGACAAGGGCAAAGGCTTTAACTAAAG